AAGGAAGAAGAGACCTTCTCCTGCACCGTCTGCTCGAAGAGGTTCTTCCACCAACTTACCTTCCAGCAGCACCAGTTGTTACATGCCAAGGATGATGGGCATCATGCCCTTGAGGGCAGTATCACAGGGGAAGGGAGCTGAGGATTGTTAGCATATGTGTGAAGGTGCACCAAGGACTGTATGGCAGGGAGATCCAATTACAGGGAAATGATCAAGGTTGGGTGGGAAGCTGTCTCCATGGGAACAATTGTCCATGCATTAAAAAAAAGGGAAAGATTATACTTGGTCACAAATGGGGGCATCGGGCCACATCAACGGGAGAAAATGTGTGGAAAATTGGATCCATGATTCCCCAGTTTTTTTAGAATGCAGATCAGGAAAATTAAGCTGGGATGGGATGGTGGTGAATTTTCTCCTATAACGGAATGTTACGTTGAGCACATAACATAACACATCTCCGTTGTGTGTCTTGGAAATATGTCCCGATGACAAGTCATACCTTTTCTGTCTTGGATCCTATTTGGGAACTGAATTTTAGCACCCTTGGGAACTTCAGAGGATTGTGCTTAAACATTCTATTATTTGAGTTTTTGAGCTGTTTTCTATACTTTTAAATCCTTTTGGGAAGTCAGATGAGTAGCTAACTCTATGTTTAAGCTGCATATGGTATTTAAATTACTGTTTTTTTAATGGCAAAAGTACTGTCTTATAGGGAAAACAAAAATACTGGGGGTGGGTCTCAGTTTCGTTACTGAACAAAGACTTAAAGAAGAAGACAATAATCCTTGGTGTGGAGTAATTTTTTAAAAAATTTCTACCTCCTTCACTAAAAAATGTACATGTTTCCTTGGTATGAAAGGAAACATTAAAAAACAGTTCAAGATACATAAGTTTTTATCTCTTTCAAAACATATTCTGAAAAAAAAATCATTAAAAGGTACTAGGGTTTATTTGGAATGGTTTCTAAAGAAACTTGACCGGAAGTTTTAGGTTTATGTGGGTAAGCAAGTTCTCCTTAGCATATCTTCTGCTGGCGTGTGATCCATCAGGATATTCTTGTGCAAAATACTTGGGGATTTTTTGAGTCATCAAGAAAAAAATTCACCTTCCCAAACCACTTGGACATGTTATAGGCCTATCTCTTGGGAGGGGAATTCAATTTTCTTTGGCACCCTTTCTCCACTTGGCATCCTCCAGTTGTGTTGGCCCAACCCCACAATATCCCTACCACCATGTTGGCTGAGAATGATGGGAGTTGTCATCTAACACATCTGGAAGAAGCCAGCTTTGGGGAAGCTTCTTGGCTATAGCTATCCTTGCCATCTTTTTGGCCAGAAACCAGGAGATCTCTCTGGTTAGTGGCAGCCATCTGCCCATCTTTTTGGAAGACAACATTGGGTGCACAGTTAAAGGGGAAGGGAACCACAGTGATGCACACACGTCACTTTATGATCCAAACTCTCCCTTAGGGTGATTTTGAAGGCCAGACTAGATCTCACATTCTTTATTTCTCTTTAAACCAAACTGGTTTAGGTTTGGAGAGCGGGTGCAATATTGGCCAGAGGCCTTCCGCTTCTCTGCCTGCTGTTTGCAATGACCAAAAGCATCTGATACACCTCTTATTTAAAGAAAACTACAGAGTGCTAGACTTTCTGAATGATGTTGCATCAAGGTTGGGCCTGGTTCAGTCATTATTTTGAGACAGTGTGGAAGGCACTTATCAGTTTCTCTTTTATTTCTCTTAAGTTGCTGCTTTGCCTTTAAGATGCAGGGGGGGGGGGTTCAATGTAAATAATATCACTAGTACAAGCCTAATAATTGGGCTCCTAGCTGGTTGGAAGGCTGATTAATCTTCTTCTTTGTGGGGTTTGCACAGGGCTTTGCGCAGATGGTATTAGGCCGCCTTTCCCCACCTGATGCTTAGTTTGTTTGTTTGTTTGTTTTTTTAGAAGAACCCCCCCTGTGTTAAAGGCAAAGGCATATTTACTCTCCCATCCAGTCTGGCCTGAGTTTCCCTTGAGGAAGAGTTATTCTGCTTAAAGGGTCCTGGACAATAAATCCAAACAATGCCCTTTATTTCTTCCCATTTCAGGTTTTCTCAGCAGGCAAGACTAACAATGCTAAGGAGCAGCAAGGTGGCTCAGGATAATAGGACCGGTAGTCCAACACTGTGGGAGGGCAACAGAGCAGGGAAGGGAAGATTTCTTTGTTTCATTTGTCATGAGAAAAATATCAGCTAGAGAACGATTGGGGTTGATCATTTAATTCGATTTTGTCCAGCATACTTGGATCCCTTTAGGGCTCAGTACCAATCTGGATGTAGATCAGATTGCAGAGAAGGGATTCCACCCCGCTGGGAAAGTTTCCCTGCATCTTAGAAAGCAGAGCATCAAGAAGGCCAAGTTAAACGCTTTCCCTGATGTACCTGTTTTCCAAACACCCCGAGATTGTTTTAAAAGAACAGCCACAGTGGGGATGCATCCAAGTGAAGCCCCCCTGCATGCTTTCCCTCTTCCACAGGGCCCAGCTGGGGGTTACTCTAAATGCATCGGAGAGCAGCCACCCTCATAATCGCTAGAATTTGTAAATGGTTTATAGGGATCAGCTTTTAGACTGTGGGGGTGAGGTGGGTGGGGTTAGGAAATCATTTAAAATAATATTTTAATCTTTTTGAAACAAGAGGACTAGAAACTTGACCATCACCAGGCTATCTTCTTCTGTTTGGGGTTGGCATGGGTAAATGTTTTGCTACTGCTCTGAGGCCAGCCCCCAATTTTGTTCTCATTCAGGTAGAATTTGGTTCAGTGAAAGAATAAATGTTTTTAAGTAGGTAAGAACTCTCATTTGTGATTAAAGTTTTATAGAATTTCTAAGATAGGTGGGTAATATTTTTTAATAGGGCGCGGGAGGGACACGTGTTGGTTTATTTTGCCAGCTAAAATCTGTTTTTCTGCCTTCAGTGTTTATCCTTACGATGCCCAATACTCCAGAATGTTGACGATCAAGTCCTGTTCTATGCTGCTGTTTTGGATAACTGACATTTTAGCTCTGATTCAGCAAAAAACCTCACAAAAGGAAAATAAATTTTGAGTTTCCTATGTTTTCAAATGTTTCCCCTCCTCCTTAAACACAGGTCACGAAACATTCAACATGTTCTTCAGTGTAATTGGATTTGAAAGTTCCTGGGGGGGAAAGGTGGAGTAAGTGGGGAGGGAAATATTTCCAACCTTCGTATTTTGCTTTCCTGACTTGCTTTCAAACCACTAGCTGCCACTGCCCTCGCAGAGATGGGGAGACAACTGATATCCTGCTCCCAGCCTTTCCAAGTTGATACCCTCTGGATGTGCTAGACTACAGTTCCCATCATCCCCAGCAAGCACAGTGTTTGGCAGTAGCTGGTGCTGTAGTCCAGCACCTTCAGAGGGTACCAAGTGGAGAAAAACTGTTCTCCCTTTGGCCAAGTATGTTGGCGTGACGGAAATTTCTTTCCAAAGGTATTTGGTGCCCCCTGGTGCCCAGGCCTGAACTGTGAAACACCTCAGTGGCAAATAAATTGTTCTTGATTTTTAAAATAAAACGCTTCCTCTGGTGTTTTGGATTTGGAGAGGGGGGGTTGAATTATTTTTATTTTTAGTCAAGCAAGCTGAGTTCTTTAGCAAAGCAGCAGACAAGTCTGTTAGTGTGATCTCTGGTGAGATTGAGAAAAGTCTACAATTGGGTGAATCCAAGCCCTACCCAAGCTGCTTATGGCCACATTCCGGCATTAGGCTTTCCTTTTGTCCTCTGTGCTGGCTTAAGTCCACAGAAAGACACATTCTGTGGGACTTCCCATTTTTGAGTTTTTTTTCCAACACCTGGGCACCCATCTGAGTAAGGTGGTATTCACTGAGCCTTGTGAATTCAATGGCATCCATTTCTAAGAGCATCCTTGCAGCTTTGGCTCTCTGATCGCATTTGGTAACACTCTGACCAGACCAACCATTTTCTAACATCCTGAATATGAACAGTTTTGCCTTTATTTAAAGAACTCCCTCTCCCTCTCCCTCCCACTCCCATTGGCGGATCCAGATGCCATATATGTTTTCTGATACAATGAACTTATTGCAACCTGTGCTAAGAAATGCTCTACTCATATAGCAAACCCCAAAATAAATGTTTTAAGTGCTGTGCTAATTTGCGACAAGGGAGGGAGGCTCAGTTCTAGTGCCAAATGGTTTCATAGTTTAGACCTGGCCAGGGAGCTATTAAAAGCCTATCTGGGGAATGACTTGCAAATGGCACTTCACTGAGGACCCAAAAGCCTGTGTTGGACTGTGAATATCCAAGTGGTCTGTACCAACTGTGATGGCCTTTTCTTCAGAGGAACAGGAACGGGTGTCCACAGAGAGGGTCAAGAAGATTAAGATGGTTTCACAAACATGCAGTCCACTCCCCACCTCTTACTATGCAGGTAAAAAAGGACAGGTCTTCGATCTCATGGTTGTGGCCATCTTAACATTTCTTGCACGCACGCACGCACGCACACCCTGGACCCCCTGAACAAGATGGTTGCATAGAGGTGATTCCGAAGCTCGGCAGCGACAACAGCACAACAATTTCCAGAGTTCCTTGAAAATGCTGCTTTAACAGCCATCTTTAAGGAGTGCTTTAATCCAAGCAATTCCTTTTCAGTGCTTGTTTTCAAAGGTGTCCCAAATTTGCTTTTCTGAATAAGAGCAAGATCTCTTCAAATTTTGGCAGTCTGAACTTTGCATCAAAGTGGTTAATTAAGATGGTGATGCCACTGACATGATAGATATGAAAATCTTCCCTTTTATACCCTAAGAACAATTGGTTGTAATAGCAGGCCTTCTGTAATTGTAAGCTTATCTTGAAGGATCCAAAAATAGGGGAATTGTGCTGAGATAGTTGTCTTTCTGATCTATTTGGGGGCGGGGGGGGGGATATGTGTTATGGGTTATTGTTAGTGTGGCACAAGCAATGGTAAATGCTTCCTTACTTATTTTTATTGTATTTATATCCCATGTTTCCAAACAAATTTTCACAGTAATTTAATAGAAAAACAAAATAAATACACATTATCAAATATAAATATATATATACACACAGAGAAGAGCACAGCATATTATAAACCAGGATGGGGGAGAGACGTTTTAAAATAACAAAGGTTAATCATCAAATGCTTTCTAAAATAAAAAATTGTTTTTTGCATCTAAAAAACAGTGTTGGTTCCCAACAATTAAAGCCTATATAATCAGCAATGTTAGCGTGTACAAATAATCAGATGCTGGCTGGAGAGAGTTAGAGATGTTTAAATAATTTACTTCATTAAATGGAACATTGACAATAAATACACCTACAAAAACATGTCAGTTTTATCGTCTGGGGAAAAAATGATCAAAATTAGCTTGGATGTATTTAAATCACAAGCGAAAGCCAAGAGTTCACCCACCTCTTGCTTTCAGAACTAAGACTAATTTGTAGTGAAGTGCTGAGACTCAAAGAAAGGAAAACAGTGCAAGAAATTTGGATTCCTGACTCCGCTCCAAATGCCAAGGATGCTGTAAGCTGAGCTCACATATGGTACAAATCTAAGGATTATATATAACCACGGCATATACAACAAACCACCATTAGAGATTGTACCAAAGGTTAAGCCATAAACCACAGTGGTTTTTACAAAATACCCAAAGCTGAAGGAAACAAGCCATATCATGGTTCAATGCATTGTGTGAAATAGGTCAGTCTCTCAATCCACCTGTCCTAATGGTTTTACTGAGATACTAAAGCAGTGTTTCTCAACCTCATCAACTTTAAGATGCGTGGACTTCAACTCCCAGAATTCCCCAGCCAGCATGCTAGCTGGAGAATCTACCAGAATATCAAACATAGCTCGTCACGGGGAAAAAGTGAATGTAAATTGCATAGAACGTGACACCGAACATTGGGGCTGTCTGTAACAAATTGTCAAGAGTCTGTCTACTTATGCTAAAAAGTTCAGATTTAGTACACAGGTCACTAGATAGGTATGGCCTATTTTTTAAAAAATGGTAGAAGAAGATTCCAAGCCATTAAAGAGCAGGGCACATTTGCCCCACAAGCTCCATGGCCTTTGAAAGTGGATTTTCAGGAGTGATGAAAACTGGGCAAGTCAGTTGTGGTCAGTTTAGTCCCAGGAGTATTTTGAGGAGGAAAAAAAAGGAAATACATATTTGCCATCCTGATATTTCAGGATCAGGAATGGAGAACCACAGACTAAGAAAAAAAAAAGAGATGAGAAATGTAACTGCATGACAAGGGAGCTCTGTCTAAGAGAATGCAACGCTGACTAGAGAATTTGCTGTTGTGGATATGAACCCTTCTATGGTTTGTTGGATTACATGCAAAATGCTTCAAGAGTGAGGTATGTACAGATTGTGAGATGGAGCAAACATTTGCTATTACATCCTTCACTGCAAGGGAACTGCAGATTCATGGGTTTGCTGGACGTTACAAGAAGTTACCAAGACATGCAAGTTTCTTCATCTGTGACCTTTGGGAGGGGAGGCTTTTGCACATTGAAGTAAGCAGACCAGGCAGCCTGCATGAGCCACTCATCATAGTTCTTGACTGATGTGAAAACCCCTGGACGAATTACAGTTCCACATCCATTTCCGAAACTGGAAATGCCTGCCAAGAACCATGTCCCTTTGTGGTTGCAAACCAAGGGGTCTCCGATGCTTACCTAGAGATTCAAGAACAGAAAGATTACCCTTTCAGGCCAACAAGAACCAAAATGGGAAGCTGTAGTGCTTCCAAAACCAGGTGCAACATTTCCAAAATTGGATCATGAGGAAGCAGAAATAATGCAGGCAGAAATAAGCAACCATATTTGGGCTATCTGGACATTCATTGGAGAAAACATTTAATGTCAACAGTTGCAAATCATAATTCAATTGTCGTTGATTATTAGCCTCCAACATAGGCTCCACTTATAATGTTGAAAAATTCTATGTCTGTATAAAATAAGAGGGGATCATTTCCGGGGCTTTATTCTGTGATATTTTTTCAGCTTTCCACTCTAGCTTATAGCCCTAGTGTTCTCTGGTGGTCTCCCACCCAAATACTAACCAGGCCCAATCCTGCTTAGCTTACAAGCCTAGAAAAGGTCTGCTAGATGCTATTTTGCTTTAAAAAGCATCCAGTAATGATACTATGAACAGTAGCAGCTCTGGCAGGGAAATCAGTGACTTTTGTATATGACAAAATGGGTGAGTATTCCTAGGTCCTAAGTTGCATTCTGAATTCCACTGGCTTGAAAGAGGGAAAGATCTGACACAGAACTTCTGGGTTTCATCTCCAGTCAACAAAGAGAACTTTATGTCAGATTAAAGCTGGGAATCAACCAAACAACCTGACTATGATAGTTTACTGCCACTTTGGATTGTAGGGTGTTGTTTCTGTTCATCAGAAGGATTTGTATGAGCAGATGATGTTTGGAGTTGTGAATAGGAGAGTGAGAGAAAGGATAGGCAGGAATACTTGCCAAATATCAGAAAACATTGGGTGCTTCCAAACGTGAAGCTGGTCACAGCCTTAGAATGATCATGTATTGAGCGTTTCAGCACCACAACAAAGGTGGACAGCTCCACCGCTCTAAAAAATTCTGTTTTTTTGGCCTGATAATAGCAAGGGATGGGTGGGGGAAAGGCCGCTTCAGGGATTATTTAACTATTCAATGTTTAGGGTGCTTTCTGTCCAATGCCTGTTTTACTGTGGTGAGGAATTGTAATTTCCCTGGAGTTAGGAAACAGTCTACCCTCGAACAGCTCAATCTGCATAAAAAAAGTTTCCGCAAATGTTTAAGTGCACCATTACTTTTCAATAGAAATTATATATTTATATTGAAGAGATAATATATTCAGAGATAATCATTTATCTCTGAAACAGCTCATAAAACAGGGCACATTTAAATCAAATATAAAAAACATGAGAAGTCCAAATCAAATATATTTGCTCCTACATTTTTTCAGGGAGGACACAGATATCTCAAGTTCCAAAAAAGAAAGAGCCATGTGTCTGCATAAATGTAGTCTTCTGGTATTATATTGCTCACAATTGTTTGCGGGGATGGTCAGTCACTCACATCCCCATTGATTCTAAGCCACAGCACGTGGTGAAGACTTTATTCTGGTGGTGACGGTGGTGTCTTTCTATAGTACACATTGCAGCTGCTGTCTCGCTGGCTAAACCAGAGCACTCCTGAATTCACCTGAGTGGGAGAAAACCTGGTTTCACCCAGAAGGAGAATTTGGAATTCAAGGGATTCTGCTGTGAAAGCTGTACTGAAACAAACATTGTCTGGATTCTTGTGCAACCTGTTCCCCACTCAGTGGAATCCATGCAGGAGAATGAGGAAACAGTAAAAAACCACCTACTGTATGTCTAGCAAAAAAAAAAGTTCTTTTTTCCAAATGGGGGTGCAGTCCCTTCTGAAAGTAAGAAACAGCTTGGCTGGGGGCCCCCACTCACTCTCGTTTTCAGGAAGATGAGTTCAGCACCCATGTATATGCGTGTTACCAAATCTGTCATAAAGTGGCACTGCTGGGAAATGTGCAAAGACCCAAAGTAGAATTTTTTGGTGCATTAAATCTCTTACTAGTGAATGAAGTCATATGCCAGAAAAAACCCTGGGCAAATTCAGTTTGAGAGATATAACCCATTCCTTCATTTGTATCATTTATAATTGACTGTAAGCTGAAATGTAGTAACTCCTTACCTCACAACGCATGGTACTTTTATATGGTGTTGCACACATCATCTCAGACTTGATGGAAATTTCACTCCCAGGATCACTGGACCTGTTGTAGAGGCAGTTACAGTTCTTTGGGCCAAGGATTTTTACTTCCACACTTTGCAGAGGACTTGGCTTCCCCTGGTCATCTGGATAAAGAGAGAACAATATTGTTGAGTGGGGGGAGTTATTCTAAAATCTTTATCCACCTTCTCTTTCTCTTCCCCTCTTTCCCTTGCAAAGCACCACAGATTTCTTCAACAGTAGGCAGCGTCTGAGCGGTGAGCGATGCTAGGCTCAGAAGAAATGCGGGCATTATCATAACTGAGGGGTTGGGGGAATTTTTCATCCTAGATAAAGCTATCTAGTGACCCTGAAGGAAGGAGAAAGGGAGAGCATTCAACGTGTCTCGAATTCGTGACTTAGTTCATTCCCTTCTGACAGCTGGAGTTGTTTGCTTTCCAGAGCATTTGTTCTCTGGTAAGGCAAGGCCATATAGAAGGTCTCGAAACACTCTTCTTCTGACAGGCTGCACGTTGTCCTTTATCGCAGAGGGCTTCCAAGCCTATGGCTCTCAGGAAAATCAGGTATTCCTCTTAATAACTCCTATTGCCTCAGAACAGACTGGGCTCCACTGCATTCCTTAGACCAGTGTTTCTCAACCTAGACAACTTGAAGATGGCTAGACTTCAACTCCCAGAATTCTGATTCCCAGAACTCCCAGAATTCAGAATGCCCATGTTAAAGTTGCCAAGATTGAGAAACGCTGCCTTAGACTATGGGAATGGAAATGGAAGATTCCTGCCCAAGGGTATCATCCTGGAATGCTGTTCTCTTTCTCTCTTGTCTCACTTATTATTTTAGAAACAAGAGAAGTGGAGAGAGAAAACTTTTGTTCTAGCAAGGAGGAGGAGGAGGAGGAGGAGGAGGAGAAGGAGGAGGAGGAG